ACCTCGCGATTGTGGATTGCTTGACCTTGGATTGTATTAGTGATCTTGATTTGGATTCTGGACTTTTGTTTTGTTTGTTTTGTGTTGCTAGTAAAGAATCTATACTCTGCCTGTGTTCGTCTGGCGTCATAATTGAGTTCACCCTCGACATCATCGGCAGCTTTACGCGCCGACCCTGACATCTTCCTTATAGCTATAATATCCCATTCAACTCTCTATGTTTATATTCTAGTGCGACTGACTCACAAGACAGGTGATGCTACATCTTTATCATTATTCCATTCTGAGAACGTGATGCCGGTCTTCACAAATTACAGAATATCTTTTACACTCAAGTGTCGAGGGGATTACTGAAGCACAGTTCACCGCAGATAGAAAACCATGGAGGACACAAACAAAACACTGTGTACACACACACACACACACACACACACACACAGTCATGGGCAGGTGTTTAATACTGGCCAACAGCTAGATTGATAGTCTGGCTGTGGAAGATGACAAACCCTCTAAAAATATTGTGACAGCTGTTCTTTGGGAGAAACTATGGCTGGCTTGAACTTCAATAGGACTTAACCTCCATTGGATTTTGATGGAATGGAAATCATCTCATCATTAAAAGCATGGTTTGAAAATCAAAGAAACATTACTGTGCTTCTGTTCCCCTTTATATTTTGATCTAGCGCACTCCCTATTATAAATCAGGTTTATTTCGGCCAAAATAAGTCTATGTCATATTCAATAGCAGACATTGGACTATGATTAATAGTTGTGCATAAAATCTAGAGTTGACCATCACCACTTTGGAGTCCTGACACATCTCTCTGTCAGTCAGCCAAGGCTGGGGCTAGACTCAATGCCAACCCAGTTTATAGTGCAATCATGTTGCAATGTTGCTGTAATAACAGTAAAACTATGGGTGAGTGTCAAGCAAAAAAAAAGAAATAAAAACAGACCTAGCTTCCTATCCACAAAACAAACGTGACATGCAGTTATTCTGCTGTTGCTTGTTTGGATATGTCCATTCACACCTCACATTTCATCGTGACTTGTTTGCAAAATTTCAGACCGGCGTAGTTCAGCATTCGTTCACTGATACAGCGTGCAACGGGGAAAGGCATAAAGGTCACATCTGTTAAAACATGGCAGAAATTAAGCTATGCTGTCTGATAAACTCCTTCACTGAACAATGCCGGAATAAGGTAGAGCTCTGTAATGCAAGGAGCACAAGGCATACACTATGTACAGTAGTCAATGGCATTTAAGACGGGTATGAGAAATGACACACATTTCCCAGAAGAAGTGATGACTCTTAAAGATGACAAAGCTCCACCAGCCCCATCTGCTGGGCAAATCAGCTACTGCTGTCTGTAAGAGCACCACAGCTGTTGACTCTCTTGACCCAAACACAACCATAGCATTTAGTTTACACAAAGCATTTCTCAAACCTGAGCAATACAATTAGAAGTACAAAGAGGCGTTTATAAGTGATTCAGCTCAACAGATCAAAAATGCGAAGCATAATATGACAAAATGCCACTGTATTCAGCTCTAATGCTTCCATTCAACTTGTTTTATTGCACTATTAAAAAAGCTGCCCGAGGGCAGGAGCTTTATTATGTCTCTATGCAGTAACTGTCAGTAGTACTGTGACTGCATTGGTGCAGTAAAGATTTACACCTTTAACTGGGCAGCTTCTCTCTTGGTCTTGACACAGGGTGTACTGATAACATGAGGAACAGACAGGGAATGACTCTCATAATTCCCCACATACTGCAGCCTGTTATATACAAGCTACAAAGTACTGGGCTCTGTTCGCCTACACTCATCATTTCCAGAGTGTGTGTATGTGTGTGTAGCATCAGATCATAGCCTCTCTGTAATGAATAATTGAGGAGTACCCTACAGGGATGGTTGCTTGGGCTCTCGTGGCCAACCCATGATGACATCGATTGAGTTGCTGTTTTATACTTGATGTGATGTAATTATTCATTTGTTTTATTCTCCAGAACATCCACTAAACTCATCTGATAATTTCAAATGTGTACTTTTCATTGAGCTCATAATATTGTAGTAAAAAATATACCACAATACACACAAGCATTATTTCATAGGTACAGTAACCTAACAGTGGAAGAAGGCGGCTCTCTTCCCAGTAGGAGTGTTTAAAGAATGTGTCAGAATCAGTTTATAAAGGTGCCTGCATGTGTCTCTCAGTCACAGGTCAACTGTGTTTAACTCTGCACTGAATGAAAATGATCAGGTTGATCACAGTGGAGTCTCCACGTTCCTGTTCGCAACCTGCTAACATCACCAACAGCTAATAAGTCGGCCCAAATGAAATCTACACCCGCAAAATTCTGACAACACCGACAGATTTTGAAAAGAAAGCAGAAAAACTTAGAATGTAAGAACGTGCTTGCCCCCACCTGTATGTGCACAACATATTGTGTTGAGGTTTTTGTCGTTTTCCAAGCCAAGGATTGGACATTCACATCTCTGTCTAGAGGTTCTTTCCTTACCCAGCAGTCTGTGACACCTCTCATGTCAACTTTCTAAAGCTGTTCCCCTCAGCAGCCTATGTAAACAACCCAGGTTAACGTGTATTAACAAAGATATTAATGTCTCCTAGCCAGACTGTCGAAAAATGTGCACCGTATTCCAACTCCCCCCTTCCTTTTTTGCACAGTGTTCGGTCTGAAGCCTCCATCTAGAACAATTTAAATTTCTATTTCAGTGGCCATGTGTCCTCAAATTTTGTGCTGGGGAATTTCCAATGTCTATAAAATAAAAACTCTCAAATTTAAAAGTTCATATAAAGTGATTTATTTCATCCTGCTCACAATTATTTTAGTTGCTTTAATGCATTTTTATGCTTATTTTTGCTAAAAAAAAAAAAAAAGGTTGTTAGCTAAATGAATATTCACTTTTACAAGTTAAAAAAATCACTCCTCAGTATTCCACGGATTTCCATCCTGAATAACTGCAGAAAACTGTATAAAAAAAATCTCCAGATTCCATTTGGGCCTGGTAATTAGATTAGAGGTATTTAATTGAAGCCAGCACTTAACACAAGGTCTTAACAACCTCTCACTCTCATTTTTCAGGCCTTATTCCCATGAGGTGTTACAACAGTATCTAAGCTGCTCTAAGTAGTTGCTCTAGGTAATGTAATTAAAAAGATATGTGTAACTGAATAACTGATTTGCAAACCTGAAAAGTTATGCACTTCAGAGACGGTTAACAACAATGACAGCAACAGGATGGTCAGATTTAGTATACCACTCAGGAGTGAATTAATCAAATGACTAGTAGAGTAAATTATTGATAGAAGTCACATGACCATTGTAGAGATGGTACTGATAATTAATACCAAGGCATTTTAATTAATATTCTTTTATTTATAATACATGAGGCCTTCACTGACCATGAGCTGAGTAAAAACATCTAAGACCTGCCCTCAGGCAACTGCCACATAAACACTCGTGGCACTTCTAACTGATAGTGTACATAAATACTGTGTTTCCAGCATCTGTAAAGTTGAATTGGACAGGATCCCAACCTATTCTTTGAGCAAAGGAAAACACGCCTCCCACTTGGAAAACATCTCTCTCACTTCTCTTGCCTTAATGTATTTTTGTACTGTGTATCCTGTTCAGCTGTCAGTACCTATTATAAGTGGGCAAAGGAAAAGAATGATCTTTTTTCATTTACAAGGTTGATTGTTCCTCAGTGACCTGGTATTTAAACCTCCATAGACAGATTAAGGCAGTTTAAAATGCATAGTATGGCCACAAGCAAAGCAAAGCATCCTACGGTTAACAGGGATCCTGGTGTCCACCCATACACCCTTCAGATAAAAAAATATACCGTACCATGTTTACATTATTTTCCAATAATCATTCATCATTAATAAATGTATCCGAAGTAGGCTGTCAAAGGGATGAACAGTCTAGTTTTTAAGTAATTTTTTCTTTTTTATTCAAAACATTTACTACAATTCACAGCTATCCTGCTTCCTCTTAACAAATAAACAAAAATACAACTAAAATCTCTAGTCTGCTGCACATGTGACCACACACAGCAGATGTGCAGACACCCATCCATCCATCCATCATCTATATCGCTTATCCCTGAATAGGATAGCAGGGGGCTGGAGCCAATCCCAGCTGACACTGGGTGAGAGGCGGGGTACACCCTGGACAGTCCTCCAGTCTATCACAGGGCTGACATGTGCCGACACTCCACCCTGCAAATACTCATTTCAGGGGGAACCCTGTTAAATTCACTTTAACGTGTCTTTTACAATCATTTAATCCACCATGGGCAATAAAAAAATGCTGCTGTAAACAGTACAGAGAGTAAAACCGTCTTCTTTTTTTTACTGCTCTTAGGCAGGGATAACTTTAGTATGCTCTTGAGTGAAGTGAGTTTTGTATTTTCGTTTTGGATGACTCTGCCACGGTGCTGCAAGACACTACAGTGAACCTACAGAGAGAGAGGTTGATGTAAAATGATATGTTCACTTACCACAAAAAGAGATGAATCAGGATGCTTGCTCGCTCTCCCGCCATCTCTTGTTTACTCCCAAAAAAAAAAAAAAAATCTAATCTGGCATAATGTGAGCTGCTAATCAGTGAGCTGTTATCCATACACAGGAGACTCCCAGAGCTTACAGAAGAGGTGGGATGTCTGCGTGTGCTCTGTTAAACCACAGGCTGTATATAAAACTCGATGACATGTCACCAAAATACTGTGAAAACAGAGGCTGCGGTTGCTTCACTCTGAGGAGCTGTCATGTCATCCATCGTTATATACATATTTATGGTTTTATTACCTATCCTGCAAGTAATCCCTATGTCATCAAACCTCTAGCCTGCTGGAGGTCAAATACAGGATCTACCATAAGTTACTTTTTATGCTTGCTTCAAGCAAATTCAGGACAAGCAAGCACTGTAACATATTTGAAAATAATACTAAAGTTTTTATCATTATCCTACCTGCAATGCGAATTACAGCCCTCTCTGCTGGATCCAGGACCTCCCCTGAGGATGACTTGGAGAGTTTGACCTTCTGGTGTTTGGACAGGTTCCAGGGCAGGGTATCTCCAGGACAGGGGCCACTGCTCTTTTTTCCACAGCTTTCTTCCAGTGGGGTTCCATCTCTGCGTCTGTCTTTACGGGTGGCCATCAGCTTTTTAACAGAGAGATTAGAGGACTGAGTTTAAGATTGCATTGGCTGCGTGAATGAGAATGCATGCAAACATAACTAGAACACACACCACTGCCACAAACCTTACGGAGAGCATTCAGGTTAACACAAGCTTAACACAGTAATGTTACAGTAATGTTAATCTAGACATACATCTATCTGTCTATTGATTTCCACCTCCGTACAAATATACCATTTCATATAGTAATGATGAGTATTTGTACACAGTAAGCATGCTTATAGCCCTGGTTATGTTAATATATCAGGTAAAGAGGGGTAAACTCTACCAGCACTGATCACAGGGTGTCCAAAGCTTCTGAAACTAAATCAACATTCAGCCACTTTAAATTCTCTAACCAGTCAGGCTAATCAGCAACCAATGACTGATCTAATTGCCAAGAACAAAGGTGTAAAAGAGAGACATCCAAGTACTAGCAAGCTGTCCTGTGTCACATGTGACCTCACTCTGCTGACATTTAACTGTCACTGAAATGCAGAACAAGCTCAAACTAAAACAAAGCTTTATGTTAGAGGGCCATAAAATGCAAAATGTAGGGCTTGCTACACAGCGTACTTTGTGAAATATCATCAGTGGCATGTAGAGATAGCAGCAGGTGGAGGCTCCATAACCATGATAACAGGATATACCGTACAGACCTCCACCTGTTCTCATGCAAATAGAAGGCTGAAAGGCATTTATGAAATTATACAGCCAACTGTGCATCAGCTGATGACAGAAACCAAACATGTTCAGCGGTTATAAGCTTTGCACTGACATGCAAAGACAATATCATGTGATCATACTGTGTCAAACAACATTGTATTTTCTGATTAGAAAAGAGGAAAATGGCACATATGCATAACGGCACTAACACAATAGAAATGTGTAGTTTAAAACAACTATACACTACTGACAGACACACACTACGTGTTTCATTTTAACTATTTGCTCAGGTGCAAAACTTTGCCCTCAGGTTAAGTATTTACAAATAGTGTGCAGAGTCAGTTATAAATAGTAACAGAGCAGAACAGAGAACGTGTCACTGTGAAATACTGCAGCTCACTACAAACAACATCAAGGCCATCACATCCCCCTCAGTATTCAGCTGTTGTGTATAGTAGTGATGGGACAGCAACAAGGATCAAACCTTGCAGCCGACCGGGACCTTTCTGTCTGGGCTTTGCATGTTCTCCTCGTGCCCGAGTGGGTTTCCTCCTGGAGCTCTGGCTTCCTCCCACTGGCCAAAGACATGCAGGTTCGGTTAACTGGAGACTCTACAATGCTTCTAGGAGTGAATGGTTGTCAGTCCTGTGATAGACTGGTCACCCATCCAGGGTGTACCCTGCCTTTCACCCAATATCGGCTGGGATTGGCTCCAGCCACCCCAGGACCCTCTACAGAGTGGTATAGATAATAGATGGATGGATGGATATTGCAAAGTCCACGCCTAACACAGCCCACCACACTTTATGATGATTACTGGCTTAATGAGATTAGAATGTACATCTGAGCTAAGTCAACATAGATTAAATGAGCACTCATAAACAATGTCAATATATCTGTCAAATAAGCGGTGTTTCCAGACAGACTCACTGAGATGACAGCGTCTGTCACATTCCAACATATCATGAACTTAACCTTCTGCCAGAATTAGTATTTCAAATTAGCTGTGACAGTATGCTTTCACTTAAATACATGGACACTGCTGTGGGAAAATGTTTTAATGAAATATTTCTGTAGCTGATGTTACGACAGAGAGAGAACACCTCACTCAAGCACCTGCTGCCCAGGACTGTTGCAGCAGGCACCACTGTAACATGCCTCAATGTTGTGACAAGTTCAGAGTTTACTCCTTTGCAAATGTATCATACTGTGCATATCAATCAAGTTAACACAGGCTTTATGTGGTCATTATCCAAAAAGCTACAGGAACCAGATCCTCAGGCGTACTGTAAATGGGCAGCAAATACGATCAGAGCAGCTTGCATGTCAACATATTGTAGCAAATGTATCTGGAGCAAAGGTTTAACAGAGCCTTCGAAACTAGATGTAAACGGCAAGGTAAACACAGTCAGATACTGTAAAGCAGCATATTGGAAAAGTGCCACAGTATGTTATGAGAATCTGGTAAATAATTGTAAACTTACATTGATATTGGTCTATTTCCAAGCTTACCTGTCCCACCTGTATCACTTTTGGGATAAGAATGGTTTCACTTTGTAAAAATGTCCCATCAGGCTTGCCTTACACTTACAGAGCATTACAATCAACACAGTCAGATAACACTTAATTGAATGACTAGTGCTGCTAATTGGCTCATAAATGTGGTAATGCAAAAGTCTGAGATCCCATTAGTACTGTAGGCCTCCACCCAGCTCTTCATTTAAACACCAGCTGTTCGGACGTGCGGTTCTTCACCACTGGCCCGATGTACCTGTACCAAACTGAGCCCCAAATGGCATAAAGTAAATTAACAGGTAGGTTAATAGGGTGACTCAGTAAAGCTAGATCAATGCACTGCTCCCCCCAATCCACACAGTGCCAGTGTGATCATGCATTGCCTTACCTTGCTATAGTGCTGGATTAGTGCGAGTCAAACTGCCATGAACCCATAAAGCGGTACCTCAGTCTGTGTGCTGCAGGTTATCGCCAAGCGAAACAAATAAAACCGCAGAAAGCCCACGTGTGCCGCAGCGCATTGCATGCGTTTACCAGCCGGGTATGTTGAAATAGCCACTCCTTTGACAGGAGGCAGGGCTGGAGGCGGCTGGAGCGACGACCCGTCCTGCAGCATCCGCACTCATCTGTGATGTTTCTTTGCCCCTGCTGCTCCGTCCTCTAACATCCCTGGCTGCATAGTGGCACCTTCAGATTCAAAGATCGCTAATCATCCATCCATACGTTAAACGACACCCGAAGCTGCAAAATGCCGTTTCTGGTCGTCATCTTGGCTGAGAGCAGAGGAAGCAGGCGTCCTCAGTGGGACACCACGCCGCCGCAGACCTATTGGAGCCACTGTACCGATCCAGAGCAATTAACGGCGTTCCTCCACCAGCAGGGCAGCAGGGTCTGGTGCTGCGGTGAAAAGCTGCATGACTCACTGTTCCATTAGTTTTGTCTGCAGGACATTGCAGACAAACTATCAGAAAATGTCAGGATTTAGTGTGCGAAGTTGTTTGGATTCATGGGAAGATAAAGTGTCTAATCAGCCTAAAAACATACAATAAAGGTGCATTTCACAAAAACTTCGGCGCCAGTGTCCTGCAGACGTGACGCAATAAGCTCTTAGACTGAATTTTGGACCATGCAAACACAGTGTCCTCAGGCTGTAACATCTATAAAAGATATGCAAACAATGTGTAAATGTGTTGCTCAAAAGACAAAGAAGTACAAAATGTGCTAGTAATGATCTTCCTTCAACATAAGGCAGGCATGTATGAGTAGCCCCTAAATCAGCATTTATTCCTGTTTTATGCCGGGCTGCGTAATGTTCAGATTCAAGTGCACACCCAGTCATCCTCCTAATTAAATATTTTAGGCAATGGGTATAGAAATTACTTAATAGATTCCACCATTTTTGAATACATTTTGTGTCTCACAATTTGTCTGACATTGTAAACGTACAGTACAATTACCTGCAGTGATTACCACAATTAGTTTGGATATTGCATGTCAAATGATGCATGGTTGAACATATTTATGCCTCTACCGATTCTTCAAAAACAACCTGAGGAGGAATATTCACTGTGTGTTTAAAGTGAACATAAGTCATGTCTGCTCTAAGGCCAAAACCTGTGACAAAGGGTCACCATAGACAGTGTTAGCAATGTATGAGAATATGTCATGGTTTTCATCTAAATATAGACCAAATTTTAAATTAAGCTCTAGAAAACCATGTTTCTATTGTGCCATGCAAATAGGAGTTAGAGCTAATTTGTGGAGAAATGATGATGAAAATGTGGCATTTATGTTTGTGTGATGTATTTATTTTAGGAAAGGTAGTTCCCTCTTTGTGACAAATTAGTCACATGCTTCATGTCAGTCATCATTTATTTGCTAAGTCAGTTTCTATTGCACATTGTCAAATTTAGTTTTTATTGATACATCAACTTTTGATTTGATTTGATTTGATTTGATTTATTTTTTCAAGCATGTAAAAACAGTTGATATGACAACACACATAATTTTACACATAATCCAATATCAATTTGCTTATACCTAGTACATGCTTGAATGGAGTAGGAAGAAGTCAGACTTATCCAGTCCTACCCAATGACATCATCTTACAATCATTGGTTTGCAATCAGTGAATGATTCACTTCTGCCCACACACATATTATACTAAAAAAAGATTATAACAGTGTTAGCATTAATACATCACACAAGTAATATACTAAAGAATTATTACAAAGTGTACACCACACTCACAATGTTTCATCTAATTAATCATTAAGCCTGTTCTTGCATATATCTTGATTGACACATACCTTTATATTTGTGTTTAAACTCATCAATTCTAGTACTATTTTTTATGTCTACACTTAAATTATTCCATAGTTTTACCCCACTTATGGAAATACAAAATCTTTTTTTGGTTGTACGTATAGCATGAATTTTTAAATTTAACTGATCCCTTAAATTGTATCCCCCTTCCCTTTCATTAAATAGTTTTTGAATTCCACCAGGTAATAAATTGTTCCTGGCTTTATACATAAACACAGCAGTCTGATATCCCACTAAATCAAACAATTTTAACAATTTAGACTGTATGAAAGCTCCATTGGTGTGATCCCTATACCCCATCTTATGCACAATTC